AGTTGGGTAATCGGTTTAGCATCCCCTTAACAAAGAATATTCATTTTGATAATAATTCTAAAATGTACATATGGCATGCGTTTTACTTTTTAATAGCATAAAAGAAATTTAGTCTAATGTGTTGAATTCTTAAAAGATTACAATTTTTAATAATGAATTAAAATTATGTCGTAACATAATAATATTTCTATTAATTAGAACTATGTCGGAATATAATAGAAATATGAAATTTTTATTATGTCGCGACATAATGTTAATTCGCCGAGTTAACATTATGTTGCGATATAATAAAAATTCCGTATTTCGATTATTATGCTTTGGCATAATTTCAATTCATGGAAATATTATTATGTTACGACATAATTTTAATTCATTATTAAAAATCGTAATTTTTGAAGAATTCAACACATTAGACTAAATTTCTTTTATGCTATTAAAAAGTAAAACGCTTGCCATATGTACATTTTAGGATTATTATTAAAATAAATATTCTTTGTTAAAGATTACTTCCTAAAAGAAGAGATATTAAGTAACTGCTTTGACTTTTTTGTGGAATTGCTATTTTTCTGTGCGCACGTTCACGCACACAGAAAATGCACGCAAACAATTTTTCTATGTCGTAAATAATTTTGTTATGATACAAATAATCAGGAAATAATTCACAATTTAAAACGCGGAGACTAGCGCGACGACAGTTCACTTTAGAGCGAACTAAACTGTGTTCTTGGAAAGAGTTCTCAATTTTCCTAATTTTCGTAATCAAGATATTAATTTCTAATATGTTTCCGAACATACGTGCATGCAAAAATAATTTTTTCGTACGAAGATTTCGTTTTGATATGAACAGAGAATGATCATAACTCAAAGAATAATTATAGTTGGAAATTCGACGCTATTCGCGACTCATGTCTAGCGACGACCATTGCTGCTTATTATAAATAACGTGTGTCTAGCGACGGCGAGCGCGCGCGACGCGCCTATCGAGCCGCGCGCTTGCATTTGGCGGTGGGCCGGGCGAATTTGAATATTTTTATAAATAAATATCTCGTTAACTATTGCGAAAATTGAAAAATAGTAGAAGACGTTCCGTCTCAGTTTAATCCGCTCTACCTATCCATGATATTTGTCAGGAGAGTTATGGGACACCCTGTATATTTATACAGGGTGTCCCAAAATGGTCGGGACACCTAAATATCTCGGGAAATATAAGTTTTACAGAAAAGTGTTTCTGACAAAAGTTATATGGTTTAAAAATATCTATTTACTGATCCTATCAGTTTGACCTTGGGTTGCGTAGCCAAAGTCAGGTCAAGGTTACATTGATTTTCTGAAATAGGACACCCAATTTTTGATTCAAGAATCTGAGAGCTGACGTCGAGAGCTTTCCAAAACGCTATAATGAAGTATTTTTTTATAAAGTACTTTTCAAGTTATAATGCTTCAAAGTTACAGTATCGCCGGCATTAGCATTACCTAAAATATTTAATTTTGGAGACTGGCTAGTCAAGGCGAGATCGATCGGTGGTCCGTGAATTTTGACCTTCAGTTAACGCACAAACAAAAACATAACGCGTGGTATTACATATCTTGGGTAATACTGTAACTTTGAAGCATTATAACTTGAAAAGTACTTCATGAAAAAATATTTTATTATAGTGTTTTGGAAAGCTCTCGACATCAGCTATTAGATTCTTGAATCAAAAATAGGGTATTCCATTTAAGAAAATCAATATAACCTTAACTTTACCTTGGCTACGCAACCCAAGGTCAAACTGATAGTATCAGTAAATAGATATTTTTAAACCATGTAACTTTTGTCTGAAACACTTTTCTGTAAAACTTATATTTCCCGAGATATTTAGATGTCCCGACCTTTTTGGGACACTCTGTATATATGTATACATATGTAAAATATGTAAAATATATTAAAATTTTTAACATTTTTGAAAAAATTTCACATAGGCGACTGATGATCTATTTACTAGCGACCGGTACGTTACTGAAGCTACATTGGACGCGCATGCGTCAGAAATCCGGCCCGTCTAACAACACTAGGTACCCGGCTCGGCCGCAACCAGTGTTGACAGTATTTAAAAAAATAATGTCGCCTAATTCATAATTCTTGGTAGCCCAAACTATCTAAATTTCCTAGATTTTCTAGATTCTCTAGATTCCCTAAATTTTCTAGATTTTCTAGGTTCTTAAGCCGTTATTCAAAGGCCAATTTTACCAACACGAGTTAATTTAATTGTTTGATTGAATTATCGACTAAAATCATAGGGTGCTTTCCATTTGATAACACAAGTCGACACAAGTGTCGTTACATCTTTCTTG